TCTCAAATAAATAAATAAAATCTTTAAAAAAAATAAAAAAATAAAAGGAAGTGTGCATACTATAATATAATTGACATAGATGATGATTCATACCAGGGAAGATACGAGAGGGGAAGTGATCAGAAGGAAGTAGTAAAGTTGGAAATGATTAGGGTGACTATTTGTTTTAGTTGGTCCAGGACAGTCATGGTTTTATATTTGTTGTCTCTGTGTAATTGTTATTAATGTGTACTTTTCCTTTCAAAAGTATTCTGGTTTTAATAATACACTATATGGCCATCTTAGAAATGATGGAAGCATGGTACATGTTATCAGTGCATTTTAAAGTGAACTACTAATAATAGTTAACACTTCTATGTGCCAAACACTGTGCTAAGCAGTTTATGAGCATTGTCCTATGATGTCCTCCCAATAATCTATGAGGCAGTTAATATTATAGTCCCCATTGTAGAGATGAGGAAGCTCAAGTTCATGTTTATAGATGTTCAGGAACTTGCCCAAGGTCACTCAGTAGCCAAGTTTCTAATTCAAACTGTCTTGTTTCAGATGTCATATAAATAATCACCATGAATTATTTATTTTCTCTCCACTTTAAAAAGATTCATAAGATAGCTGAAAAGAAATTCAATCCTGTTAGGCTACAAAATGTATAGGATGGAAAAAAAGATTATCAAGCATATACAAGGGCAAAAAACTTGAAAGCTTTTCATAAAGCTTTTCACAAGAGGCAGACTTACCTCTGTTTCAAAAAATATTATTGGAAATATGTCAGAAAGGCAGGCTATGGGAGGGATGATTCCATTCCCAAAGTATTATAAAATCCCTAATTTTGGTTCCTGCATGTATTGCCTCTTTTGAACCCAAGTGTCCTTTTCCCACATACTTGCTACCCTAACCTCCTGCCCTCTCCCTATGAAGGCGCTAAGATGGAAGTGAAAATAGGGAAGTCAATCCTTATTAAAAATACATGTTATAATGCATTTTGATCTAGTTGATCTAATGCTTCCAGACTTTTAAAAAATCTAAATTTATTCTAGATTGATTTTCCCCTAATACTACCGTGATAAACACTTTGGTTTTAGGTAACCAATTCTTCACTAGGTGTTGAGAAAGAAAGAAAAGAATGATCATCCTGAACTTCTCTTACTTTCTTTTCATAGTGCTTCTGCATAGCTGCCTAGCTGGTATAGGGAAATGACAGGCGGACCCTTTTTAAAACAGTAGACAGGCTCTGTGCTGAGACTTTTTTTTTTTCCCCTGATGGATGCTGTGTGCATTCCCTGGAATGCTTAAGACCTTAAGACTTTCCTTCAGATATGTGGCTTATCTCTAGCAGACAGTAATTCCTCTCCTGAGCCCAGCCATTGGGAAGGGGAATCCCAAAGAAAGAATTCCCTGCCTTTCACAGAGAATTATTTCGAGAATCACAATGGGAAAGATGAAGCTAGAGTATCAACAAAGTTATTAGCTTTCTCTCTAAGGTGGTCCTGGAGTTCAGTTAATCATTACAGAATCACAGTTAGGCAAGCTTGTTGAAGGTGGGGTTTTAGTTCTCCTTTTAATCATAATTGAACTGTTAAGTCCATCTTAGTTGAACTGTGGGAGGATTTTCAAAGGAAACTAATCTGTAAAGCGCAGAACAAGAATGCCTTATAATAAAAGAACAAATGGAAGATTTGGCTATATCTGTATGTGCTGCTCATGTGAGTTAGAACTAAGTAGTCAGTGATGAATAACAAAGATGAATCATTATTTCTGATTACTGAATACCCTGATCATATATCTGTCATTTCACTCTTCTATATGAGCACAGATACAGAATTCCTGCCGAAGATACTTTACAAAGGGATCATTAAAGAAATATTTGTCAAAATAGGTAATATTGGTAAGTGTATCCTGGCTTCCAACCCCTTAAGGTCAGTGCTTTGGGGCTTATTTTGCAGTACACGTAGGACTTATTTAACAATCAAATGGGAGCACTTTATTGTCTATACTTCTCTTCATGTATTTCCCCAAAGAATGGAACCACATTTCCCTCTCCTACCTTTTCAGCATCAGCATATGCTATCTCTATATTCCCTCCCATCAAAAGCTGCTTTGGGGAAGCAATCTGATGAATTAGGTATAAATGACTAATAAGGCTTAAATATTACCTTTCCCAGGATTATGGCTTTGTGCTAGAGAAATAAACGACTCAAAGGGATTAAACTCCAGCATTAAAATTTTAGGTGAGTTGGAGGAGGGGTTTTGGTTATAGAAACTTTTCTAGCCTAAATGGTAATCGTCCAAATTGGACCCCAGTAGAAGTTTAAGTAGGGTGGAAAAATCCCTAACCTAGGGACTGGTCTGGTCCTATTATTTAGGTTTGGGAAGGGGTGGTGGTGGTTAGGCTTAGCTGAATCTATGATGCCACATTTAAAGGGCTCTTGAACCAACCTGAGACTAAATACAACATTGAAATTGCAGATTCCAGGTGGTGACATGTTGGTATGGGAGATACTCCATCTTGGGATGCTTTAGTAGAGTGACCCTTTGAGTTCAGGGCTATGCTACTGAATTTGGTCAGACTCAAGCCTGTTTTTGAAAGGGGAGCAGGAAATCTTTCTTGTGAGATTAAAAATAGTATAAGCAATATACCAACTTTAGATCTTATACAATGGCTAAGATTTATATTCGCATAAGATGGCTTAACTAGCTTGGTGTTACTATTACACTTGGCTGTCGTTTCATTTCCTAGCTGTAGTTAAATGCTCTCTTACCTCCGTCCCGCACTGAGTAAAACTGAACACTTTGGTACTATTTGGGAACCTTCAACTTCTGCTCTATCCTAAAGTACTACCTGTGTTAATTCCAGCAGTTCTGGAAGTAGTTAAAATGCTGTCACACTAACAGAATGTCTCGAACACCTTCGGAGTTACTGCAAGAGTTTTCACTAGCGTACAACTCACTTTGGTAAACAATTCTTTGATGGACTTTATGAACTCCTTCCTTTGGATGCAAGTCAATAATTATCTATAGGGCATACAGGTCTTTGTTCAAACTTGGTAATAAATAATTATCTCTGGAACACAGACGGAAGAACTGAAGCAATGACTTCAGGGACACAGAGACTAATGACCATCATTGTACAGGGTTAAGAACAGCAGAGACTGGGGGCGGGGAATGGTTTGTTCCGTATTACGTTCCTTCTCCGGTAAAACAAGGCCGTCTTGTCTGTTAACATATTTAAAGCAGTAACAGCAAAAACTGTGCAATGTTATGGTTGAAGCGTTTTATGCCATATGTGTTGATGGAATGCTTAAGAGTCTCTCTCCGCAATAAACGCAAACCCTGCCAGACTGAATTATTAGGGCCAGCGCAATTCAAGACTGCACCACCGAAACCGCCGGGGTTGGAAGCCTACGTCGCATTCGGAGTGTGTCCAATGCTTCCTCTAACAAAGGCACTATCTTGAGGCAATTTCGCGGGCCATTTTCCCCCTCCCAGCGCCAGCTTTGTCTCCTCGCCGGTGTGAGGCTGAGACTTGGAGGAGCTCCCGCTGCTTTGCTGTGCGAGCAAGCTCTAAGCGAGGGCCGGCGTGGGAAGCTCCACCGAGCTGCCGCTGTGGTTTCCTGCAAACCGAGCGTGCCATTAGAGGAAGTTGGGAGTGCTGCAGTTGAAAGAGATACCTGCAGCCTTAAAATCGGGGCTGGACTTGAACCCTTCGCACCGATTACTGTCTTATAAAGAAACTCAATTGGCCGGGACGTAGGAGGCTTGGGGGCTCTCAGCCTCCCCGGCGGGGCGCAGAGGAATCGGGGTCCACGTCGTCGGCGTACCCCACCTCCGGCGGCTGGGGGCGGCAGGCAGGCCTCCCCGGGCCTGGGCCTGAGTGGGCCTAACGCCGCGCCTCGCACACGA